GTTTTTCTCTCGTATTTTGCTCCAACTTCCTCCAAATACGACTGGTACAACTGCAGGTGCCACCAGCTCTCTGGCTCATTGCTTAGTTAGGCTTAAATGACTGTGCGCTTGCTCCCTGCTTCCCTACTGGGCTTGGCACACCTCCAGGCTGCTTGGGTACTGAAGCCTGTGAAGTCCATGAAGTTGGTTTTCCAGACTAACTTTAACCTGGAATGAACTTCAGACAAGGCAGCTCTGGAGAAATTCATATTGACTTTCCTACCTCATTTACAAATAATTTTTCAAATTGTCAAAGAGAAACATTCACCGACATAGACCATACCCTGGGCCATAAAACAAACCTCAACCCGTTTGAAAGAAATTAAATCACACAAAGGGATTTCTCTGAAAGCAATGGAATTAAACTAGAAACTGATAGCAGAAAGATATCTGGAAAATCTGTTTTAAAAAAAGTTGGAAATTAAAACAGCACAGTTCGGAATAGCCCATGGTTCAAATAGGAAGTCATGAAGGAAATTATAAAATATTCTGAGCAGAATGAAAATGAAAGTACAACATATCAAGATGTCTGGGATGCATTTAAAGTCGTGCTTAGAGGAAATTTTATGGCATTAAAGGTTTATATTAGCAAAGAAGAAAGATCTAAAATTAATGATCTCTGGGACTTCCCTGGTGGTCCAGTGGTTAAGGCACCACACTCCCAATGCAGGGGTCCCGGGTTCGATCCCTGGTCAGGGAACTAGACCCCACTGCCACAACTAAGAGTCCGCATACCGCAACTAAAAGATCCCACGTGCCACAACTAAATATCTCGCATGTCGCACGAAGATCCCACACGCGGCTATGAAGATCCCGCGTGCCACAACTAAGACCTGGCAAAGCCAAATAAATACTTAAAAATAATAATAATAAAATAAAATTAATGGTTTAAGCTTTCATCTTAAAAAACTAGAAAAAGCAGCTAAAAGCAAAGCAAGGCGAAGGAAGAAAATAATAAAGAGATGAAATCAGTGAAATTGAAAAACCACAGAGGAAATCAATTAAGTCAAAAGCTGTTTCTTTTAAAAAATCAACAAAATTGGTAAGCCTTAGTCAAACTGATCAGGTAAAAGAAGGAAAAAACCCCCCAAATTACTAACATCAAAAATGACAGAGAAGAGGGCTTCCCTGGTGGTGCAGTGGTTGAGAGTCTGCCTGCCGATGCAGGGGACACGGGTTCGTGCCCCGGTCTGGGAAGATCCCACATGCCGCGGAGCGGCGGGGCCCGTGAGCCATGGCCGCTGAGCCTGCGCGTCCGGAGCCTGTGCTCTGCAACGAGAGAGGCCGCAACAGTGAGAGGCCCGTGTACCCCCTCCCCCTGCAAAAGAAATATAGGACTGAATAGTCCTATATTTTATATAATAAAGAAGTAGAATTTGTAATTAAAAACATTTCAACAATGAAAATTCCAGATGGCTCTACTAGCATATTTTACCAAACATTAGGAATAAATAATACCAATTTAATATAAACTTCTCCAGAAGATAAAGGAGAAGGAAACACTTGCCAACTCATTTTATGAGATCAGCATTGCCTTGATACCCACACCAAAGACATGAAAATTAAACTATTAATATCTCTCATAAACAATGTAAAAATCCTTAATAAAATATCAATAAACTCCAGCAGTGTATCAAAACGATAGAACACCATAACCAAACTGGTTTTATCCCAGGAATGTAAGGTTGGTTCAACATTTTAAAGTCAATCACAGTAATTCACTATATCAACAGACTAAACAAGAAAAGTCATTGTTTCAATAGATGCAGAAAAGTATTTGACAAAATTCTCCATCCATTCATTATTAAAAACAAAACAAAACAAAACAAAAAAACACCTTTCAGCAAATTGCAATTAAAGAGAACTTTCTCTGGACTTCCCTGGTGGTCCAGTGGTAAAGAACCTGCCTTCCAATGCAGGGGACACGGGTTCGATCCCTGGTTGGGGAAGTAAGATCCCACATGCCCGCGCGCCACAACTACTGAGCTTTCACGCCTCAACGAGAGAGCCCGCGTTCCGCAAACTACAGAGCCCATGCGCCCTGGAGCCTGCGTGCCACAACTAGAGAGAGAAAACCTGCATGCCACAACTAGAGAGAAGGCTGCGTGTGCCACAACGAAGAGCCCGCGCCACAACGAAGGATCCTGCACGCCTCAGGGAAGACCCCACATGCCACAACTAAGACCCGATGCAGTCAAAAAATAAATAAATAAAATATTAAAAAAGGAACGTTCTCAATCTAATAAACAGCTTCTGTGTTAGTTCTATATTGCTGTGTAACAGCCCCAAAGCATAAATGTCGAACAATGATTATCTCACAGTCTCTGGAGGCTGGGAATCTAGGTATGACTTAGCTAGGTGCCTCCGAATCAAGGTCTCCACAAAAGTGAACTTATGTTGTCAGCTGGGGCTACGATCTCATCTGGAGACTCACTGGAGCAGGAGCAGGGGTGGTGGTAGGGAGATCCACTTCCAAGCTCAAGATTGTTGGCAGCATTCAGTTCCTCACAGAATACTGCATTGAGTGACTATGTTCTTCTTGGCTGTTGGTCGCCTCAATTCCTTGCCATAGGGCAGCTCACAACATGGCATCTGGATTCCCTCAGAGGCAGTGAGCAAGAGAGTACAAGAGAGTGCTCAAGGCAGAAATCACAGTCTCTTTGTAACCTAATCTCAAAAGTGATATTCCATTACTTTAAACATATTTTATTCCTTAGAAGCAAGTCAGTAGGTCAAGCCTACACTGAATATACAAGGGGAGTATACAAGGGCATGAATACCATGAGGCAGGGATCATTAAGGGCCATCTTAGAGACTGCCTACCACAACCTCTACAAAGAAATCTAGTTAGTGCAGGATACCTAGTGGTGCAAGATTGAATGTTTTCCTCCTAAGATCAGGAATAAGGATGTCTGCTCTCACCACTCCTATTTGATATTACACTGGAGGACGGACATACCAAGTGCAATAAGGCAAGAAAAAGAAAGAAAAGGCACACCAGTTAGGAAAAACTAAAACTGTCCCTATTTGTAGATGACTGTCTACATAGAAAACCTCAAGGAATTTACAAAAACCTTCTAGAACTTGTAAGTAAGAAAAAGCAAATCAGCATGTGAAAAACTGCTCAATGTTAGTCATTAGGGGAATGCAAATTAAAACCACAAGAGACCATTACCCACCTTTTAGAATGACTGAGTCAAAAGAACTGAATACCAAGTGTTGGCAAAGAGGCAGAAATTGGAACATTGCTGGCAGGAATGTAAAATGGTACAGTCACTTTGGAAAACATTTTGGCAGTCACTTACAGTAACACATACTTAACATATGACCCAGCAGTACTCCTCCTAGGTATTGTTTTCCCAAGAGAAATGAAGACATATGTTCACACAAAAGACCATTCATGAATATTTACAGTGGCTTGGTTTACAATCACCAAAACTGGAAACAACTCAAATGTTCTTCAACTGGGAGTGGATAAACAATATCCATACAATGGAATAGTACTCAGTAATAAAAAAGAATGAACTACTGATAAATGCAACAATATGGATGAATCTCAAATATATTAATACTAAGTGAAAGAAGATTAGCCTCAAAAGGCTACATAATGTATAATTCCATTTATATGACATACTGGAAGAGGCATAACTACAGAGACAGAAAACACATCAATGGTCGCCATTTGCCAACCATTTTTGGGAGGTTCACCTCCAACCAATCCCTGGACTCCATCTATATGCCACTCCATTTTCAAGGCAGCCACCCATCTCTCTCCTCCCAGCTCCAGCTCCTTCCCGAACCCTATCCTGATTTACATTTAGTGGCATGCTGCTTGGCACAGGATTGGTCCCCGTTTCGTAGGCAGTATGCAAATTTTCTCTCCTCACCTATTGCTTCCAGGCAACACCCATCTCAATGCTGGGCATATGGAATGGGATAGATGATAAACTACTGAGGCAATCTGCCCAGTGGCGAATTACCCTATTTCGTGGTTTCCTCCAAGTCCGTTAATTTTCCACCATTGTGCTCCGTCTGACCTGAGCGAGTAGGAGCCAGTTGGGAGAAGGATGTAAATAAAGAACGTAAGATAGGGCAGGCTCTGTAAGCCTCCATCTCCCACATTATAAGCCCAGCTCTAGTGGAAGTCAACGGTCAAGCACCGCCCCACCCCACCCCAACTCCCAAGCTAGTGGGGGTACGTGCAGACTCTAACCAATTTCAGTCATCGTACTGTCATCATACTTCCTCTTTTCCTCTCCCCCTTTCTCTCATTCATTCATTACTGGCTGCTACAGCACTGACCAGGAGAGACACAAAAGCTGCCCTCAAGGCATTCACAGTCTCGCGGAGAATACAGGGGAGTAATCACAGTTATCACACAGTGTGGTACAGGCTGCGTGGGGTGAGGGGCTCCTAGCGCAGGCGTCTTCCCGGCAGACTCTGCCAGAGCTGCGTCTTCCACGACCTGCTGGAGTTTGCAATCTTGCAGGCCTCCTCTCCCCGGCAGAGGGACGTGCAGGGACCCGGGCCCACGTCCAGAACAGCTTCTCCCGGGCTCCTAGGCAGCCCACCAGGGCCTTTCGCCGCAGCAAGGACGGCGACCGGGTCCGGGAGGGAGGCCGGGGCGCTGCGGCCCCGCCCTGGCCAGGTCGGAGCGGGGGGCGGTTCCCATAGGGATCGCGGGCCGGCCGGCCGCGACCGAGCTGGGCGGGAGTCGGCGAGGCAGGAGCTAGCCGGCCCGACAGCTGCGGCGCCGCGAGTCCTGGGCGGGGAGGGAGGCGCGGGCCGGGCCGCCACGTGGCGCCGCTCGAGGCTGCGCGGCGGGGGCTGGGGCGCGGGTGGGAAGCCGGGTCGGCGCTGGCGTGTTTCCCCGCGGCCGCGCAGCGGCGGGGCGAGAGAGGTGGCCCCGCCCAGCGGCGGGACGGCGCGTCCCTGCTTCCCACAGAGCTCCGGGCCCGCCTCAGGAGGCGCGGGGCGTGGGGTGCGCGCCTCGCAGGGCTCTCCCTTCCGGCGGGGCCTCGCCGCCGCCGCCCGCGCGGGGAGCCGGGCGGTGTCTTCTTGCCGAAGGGAAATGAAACCCGATATTAGAACCGGGGAAGCCCTTACCCTTCCCAGTCCTCCAGCCAGCTCATGTGTCTTAGATCGGATGAATTTACCATTAAAAAGATAGATTGTCTTACAACTCAGTTCGTTTTAGGATGACGGGTTACATTTTAACTTGCAGGGTATATAACAGACGATTAAACTTGAGTTACCAAAGGCAGCTGACTCCAGGCTGTCACCCTTGATCAAGTGGCCACGGCTGGGGGGCGAGGCTTTAAGGGAATGGGTCGGTTCCTAATTCTGTAACGAGTGCCGTCTTCTGTTCTAGGTCCTTGACAAAGACCCATCGCTGATTGAAGCTCTAGTGCAGTGTGTTCATGCCAAGATTTTATAAGCGACATTTTCAAACTATGTGAAGATCCGTTTAAAGAAGATTTATTCTTCTGTGATGGAGAAGTATGAAAAAATTGGGAAAATTGGCGAAGGATCCTATGGAGTTGTTTTCAAATGCAGAAACAGGGACACGGGTCAGATTGTGGCCATCAAGAGGTTTCTGGAATCAGAAGATGATCCTGTCATAAAGAAAATCGCCCTTCGAGAAATCTGCATGCTCAAGGTAATGGATTTTTTAAAAAATTAATTTATTTAGGCTGTGTTGGGTCTCCATTGCTGAGTGCAGGCTTTCTCTAGTTGCGGCGGGGGCTACTCTTTTTTTTTTTTTAACATCTTTACTGGAGTATAATTGCTTTACAATTTTGTGTTTGAAGTGGATCAGCTATATGCATACATATATCCCCATATCCCCTCCCTCTTGCGTATCCCTCCCACCCTCCCTAACCCACCCCTCTAGGGGCTACTCTTCGTTGAGGTGCACGGGCTTCTCCTTGCAGTGGCTTCTCTTGTTGTGGGATACGGGCTCTAGGCACTCAGGCTTCAGTAGTTGTGGCTCGCGGGCTCTAGAGCACAGGCTCAGTAGCTGTGGCGCTCGGGCTTACTTGCTCTGCTGCATGTGGGATCTTCCCAGACCAGGGATCGAACCCCTGTCCCCTGCACTGGCAGGCAGATTCTTAACCACTGAGCCACCAGGGAAGTCCTGGTAATGGATTCTTTAAAGTGAAGTTTCAGGGACTAACAAAATTAAAGTGAGTCATGTTATGTGAAATAAATGCCTTGAGATGTGGCCACATCTCCTTCCTTCACAGACTTCTGTCCTCAGTGACACAAATGGGACATCTGTGCACGAGTCACCAATTATATAATGAATTATAAAGTGGAGACGTTAAGTGCAGGGAACGATGGTATTCACTTTCAGACTTGCTGTGGAATATTTTATTTTTCTTCCCAGTAGCTTCTTTCCCATGTCACCTGTAGATCTGGTTCATGAAAAGCCATCAACTTTTATAGTACAGGAACTTTCCATGATTTTTAAACTTCTAAACTAGCTTCTGTTGATGTTCTGAGTCCATGAAGAGAATTAATCATTCACCTGTTTTCAAACAGCTAGAAAGCTGACAGGTTTTCATTATGCCTCACATTTATCTACGGCTGACCTTTATAACGTCTTGTCTCTAGAAGGATTTTTCTCAAAAAAGTGAAATGATTGCTTTAAAAATGTTCATCAGCTAACTCTTGGAGACCATGACATGGGGGGGAGGGGAGTTGTTTATTATAAGCTGAAAGTATTTTTTTCCTGGAATAGAAATGAAGAAGGAAAGCATCTTTCCTTCTTTTCTGAATTTCTGTGAAGATGAAACCCAAATCCTACCCTACGTAGAATGCGTCCTGTAATGAATGCAGTGTGGGTTAACTTTCAACAGATTAACTTTCTCCGTAGGGGTTGGTTTTAAACAGTTAGGGCCTCTGTGTTCTGACAAGTACAACTAACTATCCAACAAGGAAAGAGCAACCTCGTGCGAGCTCAATGAAACATCCAGGGGATTTTCTCTCACCTTTGCTTCTCCATTTTCTCCAGGCCTCTCTAAAAGTCTTCTTCTCCCCATGAACTGCATGTGTGGGGTTATCTCTGGATAAGGACCCCAAATGGGAAGTGGAGGGCTTTGGATAAATTAAAACAGGTGGGGACGACTTTCTCTATTTGGGTCTAGGACATTCTTTACCAACTGGATGTTGTCAATTCTGAGAAGACACTTCCAAAGCCCCTGTGAAGTACTCCCCTAGGAAAGAGCGAGACAAGCAGCGTTTGCCCATCCCACCGCCTGGTTGCCCTGCCCTCCCCACTCTCTACACAGGGAGAGAGAGGGTCTCACTGTTCCTCTGGGGCCCATGGATGTTTTTCACTTTCTCAGGCTTTCCCTAGCGGAGAAGGTGATAATTGTATTTCAAAGGGCCCATTTACTCCAAAGAAAAGCCAGTCTGTTTCTAGTGGAGAGATACTCTTTTTCTGATTCTGAAGGTCACCTGCGAGCACCTCTCTGAAACCTCTCACTATTCTTTAGCAATACGGTGTTTACGAGTTTAGTCCCTGAATTACTTCAGTTGCCCCAGGATGGGGACCTCGCCTCTAGATCTCTGTATCAACCACTTGGCATGTAATACCAATAAATGTTATTGTTGGGTTGAAAAAAAGATGTTAGCAAAATAAAGTCTTAGGAAGGGTAGATGTTGCCAATAAATTAGGAAGTCAGATATGTTCTCATGAGTAACTGAATATTGATGTCCTCTGAAGGATACAGTTGAGTGCACAGGAGCCTGAGTACAAAGCACACAGCACTCCATTCTCCAAAATCAAGTGCACAGCTGAGATGCCCCTGATCTGTATCAGGTGATGGGACTAGATTATCAGTAGAGCCTGTCCCGTCAAGCCCTAACTTTTCAGAATTCTGTGATATTCCTAACACATAATGGGTGCTTAAATATTTGCTGGATAAATGAATTGAGGGTTTGTTAAATGAAGTCATACTTTCTCCATTTACTTATTCAGTAAATATTTATGGAGCTCCATTGTACCTAAAACAATGTTTATGTGAAGTTGTACATCCTGTCTTTCAGATGCTTAACCGGTGGAAGATGAATTTCCCCTCAACTCTTACACCCAATAGACTGGGTTCCTGTCTATTGGGTGTAATGGGCAGGGCCTGTGTCATTCACCTTGTCTCCCCATGCCTGTCGTGAACCCTCTAAATAAAGTGTTTGGAGGCTTGCTTGAGCTAGACTTTGAAATGTTTAGGGAGACATGGAATAAGAGATAAGGCATTCAGGGCAGACAGTCTCTCCTAGGGAAAAAAGAGATGCATAAGTGGAAAACAGTATATTGAAGGAACACAGGTAATAACCCCAAAGTCTTAGCCAAGATGCCTGCTGGGCTAATAGGCCTGGGAGAAAAGAGAAGGAAAGGAAGCCAGCGTCCATTAGGAGGGGGTGTGAGGAATTTCTTGGAAAACAGGTCTGGCCCTGGGATAAGTGATGATTAGCACATAGCTTCACCTTGGTCCCAGGTGGCCTTTGGGGTTTGGAGCCTGCCTTGGGGACATGTTGTTGTCCCTAGAACAGGAAACTGCTGAGGTCTAGGCTAGTGTTTTAGGGCCCCATCTGAGCTGCATTCAAGGCAGAGCTCTAGGGCCCGTGGAAGGGGAATACTAAACCGGAACCAAGCACAGTTCCATGGGTCCAGGTTCACGGGCTCAGGGGCTCAGTGAGTGTGAGTTCCTAGGATTTTCCTTGCACACCCCTCACAGAACTGGGGCTGTTAATGACCCCTGCTAAGGTCAAGAACTAGGAAGACTGAGGCTGAAGGTACCTCAGTGACCTTAGCAGGTGAGAACAAGCAAGGGCTGAGGCCCAGACTGCTCTTATTATGATAAGGAAAGCAAGAAAGGTAGATTAAGACCAGATGTAGAAGGCTTTGAATGCCAGGCTGAGGAGTCTGGCTTTCACATGAAAAGAGGGAAGCCAGCCAAGATTTTTTATTAGAAAGTTATCATTTGCAGACTTTTGAATTTCATGGATCAATAAAATTTCAAAAAAAAAATTTTTTTTTTTTACAGATTGGTCGGCATTTTAAGAGGCTGGGTTATCACCATCACTTCATAAATGAAAAGACGTTTTAATATTTTAAAAAAACTAGGAAAGAACCAATTTTAGGATAAAAGCAGTCTTCCTGAGAGAGTAGTTGACAACTAAAACAACATCTCTATATATATACATTTCTCAGGTGTGTGAGAGTGTATGAGTGTAGGGGTGTGTGTGTGTGTGTGTGTGTGTGTGTGTGTGAGAGAGAGAGAGAGAGAGAGATCATTGCCCTTATTTTTCTCATTTCACTATCCATTGATGAAAATGAAGACATCAGCTGTTTTGTGCAGCCTAAATTTCATGAAAGTTAGTACTATGTCTGCGAACAAAGAGACTCCCCAGATCAGATGATGTCCTACTTATAGGATCTATCTGATACAACGAAATACTAATACCACAAAAGAACTGAATGGTCCCTTGGATTTTTTTTTTTTTTTTTTTTTTTTTTGGCTGCGTTGGGTCTTCGTTGCTGTGCACGGGCTTTCTGTAGTTACAGCGAGCAGGGGCTACTCTTCGTAGTGGTGCACGGGCTTCTCATTGCGGTGGCTTCTCTTGTTGCAGAGTGCGGGCTCTAGGCGAGCAGACTTCAGTAGTTGCAGCATGAGGGCTCCATAGTTGCAGAACACAGGCCCTAGAGTGCATGGGCTTCAGTAGCTGTGGCACATGGGCTCAGTAGTTGTGGCACATGGGCTTAGTTGCTCCGCGGCATGTGGGATCTTCCTGGACCGGGGATCGAACCTGTGTCCCCTGCATTGACAGGTGGATTCTTAACCACTGTGCCACCAGGGAAGTCTATTAAGTTATAATAGAATTTGGCATGTATCTGTCCTCAGAGAATTGCTTGTATGTTTTTTAAACCATTTATTTAATGATTTAAAGCAACTCCCAATAGTTGCTGTCAGACTCTTAGAAATTACAGTTGTTTCCATTAAGCAGATAAGATCATGGGAGTGAATTGTCCAGCAGTCAATTGCATAATTATTAAGGCACCACATCTACAGTGTTTCTCGTTCTTGATGTGAAAGCATATATGAAGATGTAACTATACATTGGTAAATGATTTTAAAGATAATAATTATTATCAAGAAACCTATTTTGCTAATATTTTTAGAAAACATTTTTTCTGAAAAACTGAAACACTTTTCAAATAACATTACTTCATGCCATTTGGGGGAAAAAGTGTGACACATTTTTATGAGATAAATTCAGTATTTGTGCTAATAAACTGCTCCCTAAACTAAATGTAATTCGCTCTTCACCAAGAGGTCCTACTGTAGTCAACCCTTTAATGTTTTCATTTGAATCTTATTTTTTCCAGGCTTTTAGAAAAATAAACAATTGCTCCAGTTAAAGTTAGTCAGCTCGTACTCTACTTTAAGAACATTAAGTACCGTTCTAGTGACAGTAATAAAATTATACTGCCATACCTGAGCTCAAAGCAACTATCCTACCCTTTCTCAAGCTCACTTTCCATTGTGGAAAAAAGAGAAAGAAGTCAATATTTTCAGTCATTGTTTCTGATGAGACACCTGTGTGTAAGATAGTTGACATGTGTTCATTTGGCAAGATTTTACAGAACTCCTGCCA